CTAAGAACGTAATAAACCACCCCCAAAAGCTCCAGTCATAACACTGGCGTTCATATTGAGCTTGAAGGACTGCTCAACCGGCTTTACCCAAGCAACCAATAGAGGATGTTGGACACCTGCTTTGACGATGCACCTCTTAGCGCATACACAATCATAATCCCCCCTAAAGGACCGTCTTGTCAATTTCTTAGCAGCGCCCAATTGCTCCACGAAATCACACACTTGCCCAATGATCTGCGTCACCCCCATTGGAGAGTGTTCTCAAACCGATCGCAATTACGGGAACGCCAAATGAACCACAAAATAAGTACTGATACAACCACAAAATAAGTGCCTTTCTAAACCTTTTGTCAATCATCTCATAATTTTTTTATTTTTTAATTCTTTCCCTAATCACATTGTCTTTCTTGTTATTTTGCTTATTATTTATCACTATTACTAAAATTTGAATACTTTCACTCTTTCTAATATTCATTATCAATTCTCATTTTGATAGGTTGTTGAGTTGGTTACTCCAACTTTTGCCAGGTGGACATGCTATCTTGTCGCCATGTGGCCATGTTCAATTTTTTGTTTGCTAGATTTTCAGAATTTTACTTTTGATAATAATTAATTGTATCTTTATTTGTTCATCTGCTTATTCTTTTTCCTTTTTTTGTTTCCTTAACTACAACAACTTTCAAAACTTTTTAAATAGTTTTTTTGGTAATGATCAATTCTATCTTTATCTTTTCACCCACTTATTCTCTTTCCTTTTTTTCAATTCCTTAACTATACCAATTTCAATCAATCGTTTAATTTCTTACTTTGTAGAAGTTTGTTTAATTATGCCTTTTTAAACATTTTTGTGAATCACCTCATAGTTTTACTATTTTTAATTCTTTTCTAAGCACATTCTCTATTCTTATAGTTTGGTTTGATTATATATTCCTATTACTAAAATTTGAATGATTTTCAATCTTTCTAAAATTCAATACATTTATCATAAATTTCAATAAATCTATCATATCATATATCATACATGTATAATAAATCATGGTTCGGTTCTCATATAATTATTTGTTATTTAGTCTTCTATCTAATGAGTTGCTAATTTGGCTACTCTCACCTTCTATCAAGTGCAAGCCGTATCTTTTTGTCGCATGTAGATATTTAACAATTTATTTGTGCAATTTTTAGTGTTTTATTTGTTCAGCAATAATCAATTCCATCTTTTTTCGACCAATTTTTCTTTTGTTAATTTCCATAATTACTGTGCTTTGCACTAGTAATTAGAGTAAGCAAATTAAATATGCTGCTTATGAATTAACTATATTTTATTGTGTTAACTTCAATTTTTTTATTTAGTATTTTAGTTGTTTGAAATCAATATTCATAAAAAAAGGAAACAAAAAATTTTAGAAGATAAAAAGTGCCCGCGCAAATGCACCGGTGAACAACTAGGGCTAATGATACTGTCAGAGTTATAATCTTCTTACCAGAGCAATTTTTTGTTTAAATACCAACATTACTCTCAGTTAGTCAATCACATATATTCCCATTGATTTTGTTGGGGTTCGTTGTCTACCGATTACTCTTTTCCTTCCTTTTTCTCATTAATGCGACAATGCATTTTTTTCCTCTCTTACTTTCCCTCCCATTTCCGCCCTCCGATCTCTCTGCATCTTTCCCATTTTACAATTTCTTTCATTTTCTTGAGACCTTTGTACGTTCTTCTCCACATTGTTATGAGAATATAGAGACCAAGGCCCATTCCATTCAAGCACATGGGGAATTGGAAGATTCAAGTAAAGACTAGTTCGCGGAGTACTAGCTTGCTAATTAGGGTTTTAGTTTCCATTATTAGTTGTTTGTTAGCATTAATAATTTCGGTCAATTTCACTTCACTTTGGCCGAATTTGGAGTCTTAATTTTAGTCAATTAGTTGTTAGACATTTTCGCCCTTAATAAAGGGCAAGGTCGTCCATTGGACATTCTAGGGTTTGAGTCCTGTAAGGCTATATATAGCCTAGGTTTTCATTCATTAAAGGACAATTCAGATTTTATAAAATATTCGTGAGTTTATTCACTCTCTCTTGCCTCAAGAGAATTTCCTTTGAATACTTGAGAATCAATCTCAAGCTGTTCATTGAACTTATCAATTAAGTAGTCTCCTTGATTGTGGCGTTCTTCTATCTTTACTTTTGGTTCACTAAATTTGCTAGTCTTGGGTTAAGGAATCTCCTTAGTTCGTGGCTCGTGATTCTAGAAGGGTCAAAGTTCCGCAAATCATCCCAACTTGGTGTTCGTCTAGATCCGTCCCACATCACATTGCTCTTGCTATTTCTCCATCACTATCACTAGGTTTTTTCCTGCTTTTCTTTTACTTTTTTTTTGTTTTATTCCATTAAGTTTTCTATCAAATTATCTTTACTTAAAGTTTTTTGGAGTGATCATAAATTTTGATTAAATTTGGGAAGCAATTTTGTTGCAATTATAGTGAGATTCAAGTTCTCAACTTTTGAGTAACTTTTGTTGCAATTATAGCAATATTTTGCATTTTTTTCCTTTCCTTTTTCAATTCACTCCAATACTATCAAATTATTGATTATGAGTATTTTCAGTTTTTATTTGACTATGACTTTGGGTTCAATTATAAATCATGAGTAAGACTTGTGACTTGTTGCATGCATAGGAGTAAATCATGAATTGTTCAATTATTATATGAATCTTGATTTCAACATGTGCCCATATTTTCAATAACTAGATTAAAGTAATTTTAAATTGCATTATGTTCTACACCCATAAATATTGAAGGATAAGCGTATCTACATTTTTTGAATTATTTTCATTTAAATTGTTAGTTGTTTGAGTTAAATTACATTTTATTTGCAAAAATAACTTTTAAATATAACTTTGAAAATGAAAAGGATCACTTTAAAGAAAAAGAATTAAAATATAAGAAAAGATTATGGTAAAAAACTCAAAACCAAATCAGTGAGTTGAGAAAATAATAAATAAATAAATTAAAGAGAAAGAAGAGGAAGGCAAACTAGTCAATTAATCAGAGAGAGAAGGACAAGAGTAATCAGTGAACAATGGCCCAACAAAATCAATGAAAAATTACAACGTAAAAATAAAAATGCTCTCACACAAAAATTATTGCTCAGAGAATATCACCGCCAACAACTAGCAGTAGAGAAAGTAGAATCCTTAGATGAAACTAGGAGGCATATAACGCGCGTTGCGCGTTGGGATAAACATAAAATATGCCCCCTTAAGCATGTGGATTCATGGAACAAAAATGTTTGTTGGTTAATAATGTGTACACAGCTAAGCATAAATATACATGAATAAGTAGACGGCAAAATCGTTTTACAAAAATAGTACGAATATTTATTTAGATTTATAGAGAGGTACTGCTAGGATTTAAAGTTAATATTTTTTTAGTTAAAATTTGGTGAATTCTTCTCCTATCTTACTTTATTACTCGTTTAGCATGAGAATAAAGTTCAGCATTTTTCATGAAGTGCAGAAGCGTAGGATGTGATGATCTAAATATATCGTACTTTATAAGAGAGAAAAAGTACTGTCGAGATATAGAACTACTTTCGTTGGAACTTGGGAAATTCTTCTTTTATCTCACTCCATTTCTTGTTTAACATGAGAATCAAGTTTACTATTTTTCATGAAGTGTAGAAACATAGAGTGTGACCACAAGTATATATTATGCTTCATAGGACAAAAAGGGAAATACTAAGCTAAATTTGAAGGCATTTTCATTATATATAGCAATACTGATCCAATTGTGATTATAGTAGTTTGAAAAAAAAGTGATTGAATTCTCATATTAGTTGACTATGAGTTAATCGAGTTGATCAATGAAATAAAAATGAAATGGGTACAGTTTTTGAATTCCTCTTTAGTTGAATTGGCTAACAGTAAAAGAGTTCTAAAATTGTGAAATATAAAGAAATATCTCGCTAACGCAAAGAGTTCTAAGATTGTTGAACTGTTTTCAGATCTTTCCGTAATTCATTGATGGTGGCATAATCCTTTACTAACAGTCATTTCTCTCCTACTAATAAACTGGAAAATATCATGATTTATGAATTTCCTTTGTTGCTTTGTATTTGCAGGACTGGGAGATTGTAGTAGCTTTAGAAAAGCTGGCGGAGTGCCAAGAAACTATTTTAAACTGGAAAATTGTAGGACTGGAAAGTAGTTAAAGGCATTGGCTTCACCCATAAAGGCTGCTCTTTTTGATAAGGCCCTTTTTGATAAACTATCCTGTTGTTGCCGCCATGACAACTTCTGAGAAGAATACTCGCCAGCGGTCATCTCTTCTAGATAAAATGTCATCTCTTCTAGATAAAATGCTAGCTGAAGACAAATATGTGACCAAGGATCTCAAGTCTCCTAAAGAATATTTATTCTTGATAAACTATAAAGGTTATTATCCACCAAACATTCTTATTTCATGAATCTATGTTTAATTAGGCATGTTTTTTATTCATTCCAATGCACATCACGCGGTTTATGCCTCCTAGTAATAATGCTTTCATCAATCACATTTCAAATACTCATCAAACAAAGGAAAATAGAAGCCCCATATAAAACTCTCCAATTTCAGAGTCGGGACCTAAATTTTGCAACAAATTCAATCAAAACATCAACTAAATGAATTATGGTTCATACACTTCCTGAGAGTCACAACATTACAACATCTTTAAGTTACAATTTTTGAGCTATCTCTTCTACTTGAAGTTGTTGTGAGTTAGCCTGGAACTCTGTCATTTGTACATGATTGTATAAGGATGGTACTTTTGAAAAAAAAAAAAAAAGTCATGAGAAGGAGGGTCCTATTTTACATCTGACTGCTTCAGAAGTCCAGTCAACTTTGACTACTTCTGCAACAACGTGGATGTAAGGAGGAGCTACACAAGACACTTTTTTAATGGCTGTATTTCCAAAAAGAAAGCATGCGGACACCATAATTTGATTATCATCAATAAATGATATAGGACCATCAGATTGTTGGTGCGGAAACGAAGGCCAGAACCAATCTGCTCTGAGGTGGGACATACCCAGCAAAAGATATTTGGACCTAAAACCTGCAAGTCAAGTAAATCACGTATAAATGCCTAGAAAGCTAAGACCATATCTCGGAGAGCATGTTGTACCATGATATCTACAGTATTAGTTAGTAAACTTCTATGCACAAGAAGCCTAATTTGATCAGCCAAATGAAGTGCCTACTCTAGGCTCTCTTATTTGCTACTAAGAACAAGAGAAGAGAGAAACGACTTACTGATATCATATTCTCATAAGTACCAAGATCATATGGATGTGAATACAGATAATCTCTTTTTTCAGCAAGCCACATAACTCTCACACCTTCATGGTACTGTACGATAAAAAAGGTAGGAAGTGGTCATCAGACTTGATCAGATGCCAGATAGATGAAAAAAAAATACTATCACCACCAATGCAAACCTCTATTGTGGTCTTGTTTTGCAGAATAAGATAAACATGCCAAAACATAAAGATGGTCAGCGCGAGAGTCAATGGCACCAGCAGGATCCCTGAAATGACCTGAAGGCTACTGTTCAAGTTGAATGCAAGGATATGCAAAATTATAACTTCTTGAAATATAGATACAGGAAGAAGTTACATATGCAGCTCTAAAAAAGCCTTTATTTTGCTCTTCATCTGTTGTAGAATCAACTGTTTTCTACCGCAAAGCAAAACCTGAAACAATAAAGAGCAACTAAAGAGATTCAGAAGACTTGGTGAAAAGAAAAGGAGGAGAAGGTATGAACAACAAAATCCGCATTCAAATTAAGGCAAGTTCGACCACAGGCCACAATAATTAAATGTCAACTAATAGGTAAATAAAATGAAAAGGAGCACAGAATAGAAAAATAAGAATCTTTTACTGAACTGAAAGAGATATATTGATATACCAGGGAGTATATGCATGAAACAACGGCGTAAAGAAGAAATAAGAAAGATGGTTACATTCAATCTTATCATCAATCGGAGCATTTGGGTGAAAGACTGAAAGAGAGCGTGCAAACTCCTCAAAATCTAATATCCCATTATGCTTTGTGTCAAACAAGTCAAATACCTGGGAATTTTTAATGATTTTGTCATCGATTATCAAAAGGAAAGGTGACTAAGTTTGAATACTTTCCGCACAAAGAGAACAGGGGGCGTCGGAAAACAGCTCAGAAAAGCTACATACTCCTAATGGAGACAGACATGAATCAAACATATCAATTCTATTGTTCAACATTTGCAGAAAGTACCCGATCAGCAAACAAGCTCTCCTTTTTATTTGTCTTAAATAGTGCAAGTTGAAACTCTTCCTGCAAAGCAATTAATTAGCATAATTAAGGAAAAAACATAAATCAACTACAAAATATAGAAAAACAAAAACATGAGGGATGTAACTGAGACAGAAAAAGTACAAGTCAGTGCATTGACAGTATGGCTATGTTTGAATAGCACTTGTACCACTTACAGTGAAATCTATTGCCTTGTTGATAAGCCTATCATCAATCACAGCACTGCTGATCTTCTTAAATACTTCATACAGTGCCTCTATCTCACTGACACTGACTGCAGCTAGATTTTCCAAAAAGGGGGAAAAGAAAAAAAATAACAGCAAAATTTCCAAATCAGAACAACTGGTAGACAACTGATATAAAAAAAATTCTTATCAGCACGAAAATGAAGTAAGCTCTGAATATTAGAAATTCCATTTAGTCAAGGAAAATGAGCTGAGCACGGTACAAAGAAGACAAACTCTCCAGATGGCCCCATTTTAGGCAATCTACTACTAAGAAAATGCACCACATTTTCAACAAACACTTGTAGGGTCTGCAAACCTCAACATCTTTGTTAGACCATTTATCACATAGGAGATATGTGAAGTAAGAACCAGCTAGATGATCATGTCTACTATCTTCAAGACTATTTAAATCATCTACATGTGCTTAAAATAAGTGTGGTCTCTTCATGATTAATATCTTCTACGCCACTACTTTCTTGTATACCTTTGCCTTTCCTTAGATATGACACCAATTCTCCAAAAGAAGCCATGGTTCAATCTGTGGCCTGAGCTTGCATCAAGTTAAGACATGGCACCTGATATTGACATGGAAGGAGGAGTCACCAAGTGCTAGAGAAACTCCTTCGGTCTTTGAGAATTTATATGGACACTGGTAACTTATTTTTGCCTCATGCAGCTTTAACTCAGAGCTTAAATGCACTGTGAAAAGAATAGCATAGAGCAAATACTGCAGTCTTTGTTAATTTAAATCACCCCTGGCCAATCAGCAGTAGAAATTTCAGTCCAGTCAGATGCCAGAAGTTCAACTAAGTAAAATTAATTTCTCAATTTGCGCAACAATTATGTTGATGAAGCACGTGCCATTCAATGAAAATAAGGCTACGTGATCTAAGTAACAGTTTCGTTTCCTTCAGTATGAAAAAAGAAATGCAAGTGACATAACATAGGCTCTTAGTACAATGCTAGAAATCAGTCTTGAGTGACATACAGACAGTCTCCCTTGCAAGAGCTTCAGGATTTTCTAATCCTCGGGGTTGCTTATAAATTTCAGAATCACAGCAATTGACAACAGCAGAAAGTAAATGCTTCACACCGTCTAAGCAACGCAACATGATATCTTACAGAAACCAAAACACTCCATACCTGTAAATTAAATGTTACAAAATTTTTGACATATCATTTCAGAAAAAGTGTTGATGCTTGAATTAGTGAAAAAACATCCAATGATATGTCAAAGAATAGGATATACTTAAAAGGAATACAAATCAATGAGATAACAGTAAAAAAACTCAAAAGAATGGACTGCAAAAGAATAGGTAATTGCAAACAATTGAAGGTGTAACTTGTCCATACACTTTTGTCTTTAACTGAAGACATCACCTTTTAATTCATTAATGTGTTTTCCATACTTTTGACATACTTGCACAACATATGTTTCTTTTTTCTTTTTTGAATATAAATAAAAGTATTTGGCCATACAATAGCACGAACACAGTTGAATTGTTTACTGATGATAGCAATATTGAATCAGCATCTTAGTAAACATGATATCCTCGTGTGCTTATATGTCAGTAAAAAAATAATAACATACAAAGATATCCTCTGTGTAATGTTCAGCTACAGAATGTCAACTATGAATTATGTTTCTAACTCCATACGGGCAAGTTTTGTGACAGCCCCACCTTCCCCTAAGGCGTACCAAAGGGGTTAGCGGACTGCCTGCCCAGCTCTCGCCAGGACTACTAAAACGGTAAAACATTAATTCAAGTCATTCGGGAAACTACTAACGCGCTTAACCCAACCATCAATCAAGAAACGGAAAACAAAAGTTAAAACGTAAAGTGAATAGTGACTGCCACGTCACAATCAGCCAGCACCCAATCAAATGCAAATAACTGCTTACAATCCCGGAAAGGAATATATATACAAGCCAAGTAGAATACATGGAACATGAATACCCACACACTGTTACCAACCACATTTGTATGATTACAAGCCAAAAGGAAACATGTAAATCCAAGTACAATCAAGTTGCCAACTATTGAGGAGCTATACAAAATCTCTCAACTAGCTCTACTCAACTCATCTTCAAACTCAAAAGTCCAAAAGGTAAATCCCTGTAAGGAAAACAAAATTCACGGAGTGAGCTTTCGCCCAATGAGGTACCATCACCAAAATATACCAGGATCACATAAACACAAGAATATTCAGTCCAAATACGCACGTCAAGTAAGTAAAATCAACAACACCCAAGTGTAGGGAATAAAAGGATACGGATGGCTCTCAAGAGCCCTTTTCCTCTTTTGCCATGCTTGATCTCATCTCATTGACTCTCCGTCAATGTATACCAGGTAATCATGACCGTAGACTCCTCTTTACTCCAATTATCCATCCACCTCACTTTCCCCTTACCGGGCCCGAACACCAAACAGTACAGAATTGGTATTACTCGAGTATACCGGAATCAAGGGTCTCATACCCAAAGATTCCCAAATACAGTCCCCATGGCTTGTCAAATGTCCCCGACCAAGTCCTTACTGGCTCGAGTCCATTGACTTCCAATGAGGTAGAGCTCAGAGTGAACAGTAAAGTTGGTATCCAAGCGATACCAAATCCAGTATAGTCAATAATATTCAAGTAATATCATAAACAGTCAAGTAAGCTTAGTATAATAACCAGTCAAGGAGGCTAGAGAGTACGAGAGTGGTAAAGTACACCCTCGCCTCACCTAGCTCAAACAATCATCACAACTAGTCCAAACCACAGAATTCAAGTACAAGAAAGCCACGGAATAACAAACATGTGAGTAGTACACTCACCAAGTTCAACAAAGAAATTTCACAAGTTTTCGCCCGACGTGAGCCTCGGATCACCGGCATGCCCTATAACAATCAAGAAAGTACAATGAAAACGCAAACACAAGTCGAATACCTTTTTCTAGGAACTATTAAGGCAAGACCCAAATATAGCTTGGAAATGAAAAATACATAACATGTAGGGTTAAAAGTAGAAATAAACCCTAAGATTATTCACTTCTATCAAATCTCAACCCAACACATAAGAATCCAATACCCTAGACACTTGGACAGCATTTCCCCTAAAATTTCAGCTTTTCCAACCTATAAGACAACCAATAAAAGCCATCCAACACAACCACAAGCACCCAAACAATATATAAGCCATTCCATATGCGTCATTAGGGTCATAATACCCTTCAATTATAGCCAATTAGAAGTTCAACAATCAACAATAGAAAACCCCCAATTTGAAACCCTAAATCTGAAATTTTCCGCACAAGCGGAAATTTTCCGCAATTAACCACAATTAACGCACAAGAGAACTATTTAATACCATTTAGAACCACCAATTCAAGCTCAATCATATCCATCATAGGAAAACAGAAAATTCCAGAAAAAAATCCAGAAAAATCAGAAAATTAGGAAACTTCACTCCAATCCACCAAATCTTCCGAAAAATCGCGTAAATAGCTACTATAAGGCACCAATTGGCCAAAATTTATAACAAAAGATGAGTTCCAAGCAAGATACCTTAGTTCTTCAAGAAAGGTTGTAGCTTGTGAGGTTTTCTTCCAAAACAACACCACCAAGTTCTTCAAAGACCCTTAGCAAGATGTTTTTATGGACTAATTCAAGAAACAAACGGCTAGTTTTCAAGATTTGAGCAAGATTAGAAGATGGAAGGTTGAAGAATTTTTTCCTTTGCTTGCTAGAGAGGTTCGGCCAAGACAAGGCTGAAATGAAGATGATTTGGTCAATTTTTGGTCTTTTATTCAAGTTAAAGAAAGTTAGGCAAAGTTAGGCAAGTTTAGTCCAACAACAATTTGACACTTGGCGCATTATTTTTGCTAGAGCTATCTTCTTGTCCCTCATGGCTAATCCATCTAGAAAACCTCCAATTATCTCCTAATACCTAGTAACAAAATTTCTTTACGCAAAAAAATTAACCTACTTGGTCAAATTTCTCTCACTTAATGCACTAGTGGGTCCCGCGACCAAAAGACGTTCCAAAATTCTCACGAACTACCTTATACTAGAAAAATGATTTAAGAACTATATTTACTGATAAAATATTGATAAAAGTAATATAATAAAGAAATTAAAAGAAAACGGGTGCACAGGAATAAAATAATAAATAAATAAAAATTTTTTTTTTTTTTCTGGGTTCTCACAAGTTTACTCACAGTAGTCCCTATCTTGTCTTTTGAAACAAGGTCATCATCCACTAAACTCTGGACAACATCTTTCACCAGCCTTTATTGGGACCTAATTACTCCAGCTCCTTGATTCAAAACTCATGAGAAAAATTCAGAATCCAAGAGGTAGAAAAAAGAAAAAGAACAATGTCAATTCATAAAGGAACATTAAAAAAAAAAATTGAACACATAAAACCAATGCTCTAGAAAAAAAAAAGAGGAGGAAAAAAGTACCTCTTGCTTGACGGTGGCATAACCTAAAGGAATCCATCTTTCTTTTTGGGATTACTGCTGCTACTAATATAGCTATTAGGATTGTTACAGTCAAACCTACAATAGTAAAGGTTAAGCACTCAATTTATAAAAATCACCAATAATAAATAAAGGGCACTAAATGAAAATGATTAGATGGTCCATACAAATTTAGAAAAATAAGTAGATCCTAGTTCAATTAATGGAAAAAATACCCTAAGAAATAAAAGGGAAAAAAGAACGATTTTCTGTATTCTTTCTTTTTTAGGAAAAATCAGAAAAAAAAATCCCAATGAAATGAAATAATTAGGAAAAAAAGTGGAGAAAATCAAGCATACCTCGCTCTACTACTTTAGCTTGAAGATCTGGAGTTGAAGCTTTTCTTTCAGATCATCTCGAAGAGGGCAAAAAAAAGGAGGACATATAGGTTAAAAATTAAAAAAAAATAGAAACGAAAATAAACAGGCAAATTTAAGGAGTTACCTTCTACCACCACTACTCCTCCTCGGCACCACCACATAATTAGCTCTCATTTTCCTCCTCCAGCACCAATAAGCGCAGCGGCAGCAGAGGCCTAGCTCCATCAATATCAATAGTCTACGTGAGCAATCCAGACTACTCGTTGACAAACTCCGATCTCTAGTAATTGACGACAGACCAAAAACATCTACTACATGAGCAATTGACGATGAAGGGAATTAACGGTGCCATTTTGGTCCATTTGAGTGTGACAGCTATGGTCCTACCTACTACTACTACTGTTGCCACCAGCAGTAGTGAAACTGCAGCACCGGGCAAGTAATCTGTTGGCGTTGGGATGGGTTTAGCTTCTGAGGATAAAGGTCGGGCGAAGGAGAGAAGGGGAGATGAGAGAAAGCGGCGGCAGCGGAGGAAATTTACCAAAACCCTAGAGAGGAAGTATATGCAGACGTTGGCGCATCGCGCGGAAAAGAAAAGGCTGGTGACTCACATGCTTGGCACGTGAGACGACGACGAAAACCATCCAGGTCATCAGAGCTCTTCGGCTCTTTATCTACTTATGTTGAAAAGAGGATTTCTCCATCAAAAGAAGAAAAAAAGAAGGAAAAAAAATACCAGACTGCACCGAAGGTGTGCCATTTGTAAACGAGTAAGCACAAATGTCCTCTTAGATACCTCAAAATTTTGACAAAAGGCCCTTTTTCAAGACTTTCTTCCAACTTTTTTCTTTCTTTACTTCTTTTATTTTTTTTGTCATTTTCGTGGGACGATGTGAATAGGATCTGCAACTGCCAAACAGCAGCAGCAGCAAGCATCAGCCAGCAGCAGCAGCAATAAATGTCACTCACCGCTACTACATACAAAGCATCCTTTAGACTCCAATTCCCAAGTCCCCCTTCTCTTTTCACCTTTCTTCTCTCCGTCTGTCCATCTCCCTCTTGGTCGCTTTCTCGATGTCCATTTTTCCCTCTCTTGAAAGCTTTCTCTTCCATACCTTCCTCTGCTTTCCTTTTTTGCTTCTGTCCTTTCTCTACCATATAAAACTCCAATTGACAGAATTCATCACCTTCCCTCAATAAAAACCCCCACGTCTTTATCACCGCCGGTAACAAAGTTCAAACGCATAGGTCTACTGGTAATATTACTACTACCCCGCCCCCACTGCTCTGTTTTCACCACCTTAATCAAGCCTCTTACTGTTTTTCTTTTCCCAAAACAAAAATCTTGAGAATGAAAACGTGCTTTTTTTTTTTTGGGTTGTCTGTTTATCAGAAGTGAGAACATTTTTGTTTCGTTGGTTTTGAGTTTTTAAATTCTTCTTCTTTTTTCTTTCTCGGAAATTTTGTTTAACCTTTTAAACTTTGTGATTTTGCAGACACGATATGCTACTACTACTTCTAGTACCATATGTTGTGAAAGTAAAGTTCTGAAATAACCATTTTTCCTCAAACTTGAACCATGGCTGAGAAGGACTCGGAATTTTTCTCCCACAAAATCCCCTCTTCTTTTCAGGTAAAGTCTCATTTCAGAGTACTTGTTAGTGTCAATAACTTTGTATCTTTTTATTTTCCATGAGTGAATAAAACAGTTCAAGAAACTATTACTAGTAGTAAAATGTCAGCCATCTTTTCCTCTCCCTTGATATTCTTCCTTACTGTCATAGTTATTCTCGAATAAGTGCATGTGTAGTGGAAGCTTTTTTATTTTTTATTTGTTTAATTTTGTGTAGCTCCCAAGTGCTTGGGATTGCGTTGCTTAGAAGCACTTGTTTCCAAAAAAAAATAATGCGTTTGGTTAAGCATTATTCATAGGTTGTATAGAAAAAGTTTTGGAATCTTTTTTAGACACGTTTTTAATAAACTTATCAAATTAGACTTAGCGATAAAAGAATTTCTAAAAAATGTGATTCAAATGAATCTGTCATTTTGGAATTTGTTTTTGAGACGTGATATGTGCGATATAAAAAGATGACTGGAAAATAGAAAGTGTAGTTGGAAATTTTATATAGGGAATAATCCAAATTTTTTTTTAAGTACTTAATGTATGAAAATGCATGTATCTATGGGTTAATTTCTGTATTTACTTAATAAATTGTTGCTAAATTTGGGTAATTGAATAATTAATATTAGGTTGTGGAGGAAATGAAGGAGCTATGGTCAATGGCTTTGCCTATAACAGTAATGAACTGCCTAGTCTACGTGAGAGCTGTGGTGTCAGTCTTGTTTTTGGGGCGGCTTGGCAGCTTAGAGCTAGCCGGTGGTGCCCTTTCAATCGGCTTCACGAACATCACCGGCTACTCCGTTTTAGTAGGCTTGGCTTCGGGGCTGGAGCCGGTTTGTAGCCAAGCCTACGGTAGCAAAAACTGGGATTTACTATCCATCTCTCTCCAGCGTATGATCTTCATTCTTTTCTTGGCCATTATTCCAATTAGTCTGTTATGGGTCAATCTGGAGTCAATCATGGTGTTCTTGGGTCAAGACATTGAAATTACGAGAATGGCCTCGGTTTATTGCCTTTATTCACTCCCAGACTTACTGACCAATACGTTATTACAGCCCCTGAGGGTTTATTTAAGGTCACAGGGGGTGACTAAACCCCAGCTGTGGTGTACCTTTGTGGCTGTGATATTCCACGTGCCACTAAACTATGTGCTTGTGGTGGTGATGGGGCTGGGGGTCCCTGGCGTGGCCATGGCTTCGGTGCTAACGAACCTGCATATGGTGGTGCTTCTGGTGGGGTACGTGTATGTCTGGGGGAGGTGGGAGTGGAAATGGATGGCTGGGATGGGAGAAGGGATCTGTGGTGGGGTGGGGCCGTTGCTGAAGTTGGCTGTGCCAAGTTGCATTGGGATATGCTTGGAGTGGTGGTGGTATGAGATTGTGACAGTCCTGGCTGGATACTTGCCCAATCCTAGGCTTGCGGTGGCTGCCACGGGGATACTTATTCAGACCACTAGCCTTATGTACACTGTTCCCATGGCGTTGTCTGGCTGTGTCTCTGCCAGGGTAAGCTTTTTCATGACATTAATTTTCTCTACTCGCACAAGTTACATTTAAGACAGGAAAAAACGGTTGTATATTTATGTTACTCAGAATTTTCACTTTTCATTTTGCATTACTGTTTCGTGTTCGACTCTTCACTTTGCGATAGAATAGCCGTGTGTCACAGGATTCGATAGCCGAGTCTAAGTAACAGTTGTCTACAAGTTGAGTATACATACATGTTAATTGTAACGGTTGAAGCATATGGAGTAATTAAATTATCTATGTATATCTAAAAGATTTGTGTTATAGAATCTGCAATGTGTCTATATTTGCATTGGTTTGTGATGTAGAATATTCGTATTTGTAGAAGTCTTGATGACTAATGAATGTCATTGGGATCCAATAAGGATCACTGACTAACTTTGTTTAGTACTTTCTGATGAAAGTTACATCCTTAAAGGCTTAAACAAATTTAGCTAGTTGTGGACTAGGATTAATCTGGTTGTTATGTGGAAAGAATAATGGTGGCACTATTGAGGATGGCAGTAACAAACTTGAAAACTGTAATTTGATTTCATATTCGAAGGCAATGATTTCATTTCTTATGTGTCATGTGAGACCATTAATTTCTACCCATTAAGGAGTTTAGACGATTTTAATTCACATGCATTGTCCTTCTTGTCCTTTTACTGAATAATACCATGAACAAAGTCATTAACCAGATAATCTGATCTTGGAATTTATATTTATGCATCCTTGATTTTGTAAGTAGTTTTTATCTCTAGAAAGTTTAAAATTCAAAGTAAACTCTATGTCAAGGTAAGGAAAGATTTTTTTCTAAAGCTACCCCTTTTCTTTGGAATGGATATTTTATGTTGCTTTGGTGTATTCAAATAGCTTCATTAGATGATTGGTTGGCGATGACATAGACTGCATTGGTATGGCTTCCTTTTTTGCCGTTGGAGCAGATAAAATTTGCCTTGTGCATGTATCTGTTCAAGGATCATGTGCTTTTGGTCTGTTACTTTGTTGCATCACTTTTCCACAAATCCACTTGCCGCCTACTCAACTAAGCCCATACATGTAAAATAGGGCAACACAAATTGAGCATGGAAAAGTGTTCAGTCGTCTATTGCCTCTCCCTCATTAGCATGTCCATTGCTTCCTTTTCCTTTTATCCCTAAACAACTAGCAAATTTGTTACATGTGCCAGTCACTTACATGACCAAGTGAGTTGGACTTTTATTGGAGTTTTCGATTGACATTATAGATCAAAAAAGTCATTTATTAGTGACATTTGTGCATCTTTACGCATGTTGTGCTGGATTATGGAAAGTAATAGAACCTAATTGTCTGTAAAGTAAAACAAAAGATCATTTATATGGGCTATGACTGCATGATTAGGACTGAGGAAATCGATAGTCAATATTGATGCTAGTGAAGTTGTTACATTTAAACTGGTTGCCGACACAGGTAGGCAATGAGCTCGGGGCGGGGAAACCGTACAAAGCGAAGCTAGCTGCAATGGTTGCGCTAGCCTGTGCATTTGTTATCGGATTTGTCAACATTATTTGGACCGTGATGTTTAGGCATAAGTGGGGTGGCTTGTTTACAGAAGATGACATGCTCAAGGCTCTTGTTGCCTCAGTTTTGCCAATCATCGGGTTGTGCGAGCTTGGCAATTGTCCACAGACCACTGGCTGTGGTATTCTACGTGGTACAGCGAGGCCAGTGGTTGGTGCTCGTATCAACCTTGGCTCGTTCTATTTCGTGGGCACTCCTGTAGCTGTAGGCTTAGCCTTCTGGTTCCATGTTGGCTTCAGTGGACTATGGTTTGGGCTATTATCTGCTCAAGCTGCCTGTGCCATCTCAATTCTGTATGTAGTGCTGGTCTGTACAGATTGGGAAAGCGAATCTTTAAAAGCCAAAAAGCTCACTAGCTTGGAGTTGACACAGAAGCATGGTAATGATGAAGAGAAAGGACTTTTGATGAAGCAGAATGGACACACAGAAGATGTTCCCTAATTAAAAAGGAAAAAAAAAGAAAAATGATTGCAGGATTTTTCAGAGGTATGGAAATGTAAAGTACTTTCCATTTTTTTTTTAATTCCTTTGTGTTTCAGTTGCACTTGTCTGTATGGGAGGAACGTTTATGACACCTTTCTTGAGTTTTGTGATCTAAAGGCATGGGATTTTTGTAAAAGGGGCTTCTTTGTTTATACTTGCAGACGAAGAATGTTATGGTGGCCCGTACGAATTTTCCATTGTTTAAAGGCTAGAAACCAAATTTTCTTTGCTTTTTGTCTGTGTTAGTGCTGTGCCTTTATAAGGTAGACCCCATCCTTCTTGGTGCAAAATGTGTTGGTTACTTTTGATTTCTATGCTGCTTATATCTAGCACTAGCATTTCTTGGGGGAATTCGAGGCCCTCCAGTTGAGGTTCCGTCTAATTCCGTCCAACCATGTAAATTGATATAATTTTGGTGTAAATTAATGTATATCTTGTGTAATCGTGAGTTTATACCGAATCAGTTATATTCATTCGTGCACTAAAATTGTATAAATTTACATCAAAATTTTATCGTTTTCATAACTAGAGAGAACTAAAATTGGAGTGACCCCATTTCCTCCTACATGTCCTAAGTTTGTCTTAATAGATTCGCTTTGTTCTGTTGCTACTTCCTGCAGGAAAGAAAAACACCTGAGAAAATGACCTTTGAGTGGACTGGGCAACTGTACAGTGCTTTGGATAAGTGATTCCCGAGTGGTGTGACTGCCTGTTGCTGATGGGCGTGGACATAAAACAGTGCATGATTTGGCATTAGTTGCACATGGGGACTTTGGAAAGGAAATTTGTGGATGGGGTTATTGGTGTTCTGTTGGCGTCATTTGGATTTTGGAGAGACGAAAATGTTTGATGATAAGAAGTTAATTGTTTGTCTTTGTCAAATTTGACGTTTTTCGAACTTGTACAGACGAATTTGCATATAATTATTAACAAACGTATCAACTCTTTAAATGTGATCCCTAAGAGCTAATGGTTTGAACAAATTTTGGTAACGTCAGGTTAATATAATACTTGAAATTTGAGGTAGCAAAAAATTGTCATGTTTTTTTTTTTTTTTTTTTTTAGTTTAAGAGAGAGGTTTGAATTCAAAACCTCTTATTTATAATTCTTTCTATCTCTCAACCGTAATATTTAATTGCCATGCAAAAGAAGGAAAAAAATACCAACGCATTGAAGAATCATTTTGTTGCGAAACTCTTGAAGTCTAAATGAGGAAAAATTTAAAATAAAGTGAAAAAGCAACTTGCAGTCAACATCTTCGGCTGTGCCTGGCTGCACTGATGCGCTAACTGCTGTAGTAGCCACAGCAGCGGTTGCTGCCCTTTTCGAACGTGGATGACATCCTTGTTGCCGGCGACTGGCCGCTAGTGGTGGGGATGATTGTCCATCATGATGGGTTGCGGTTGACCGTAGTGAAGTTGGGTTCTAAAAATTGATATGGCAAGATTATGCATTGGGTGTTCTAATTTACAGTAACCGTTTGGATTGTTATTTTCTGGAGGTTTTATAAAAAAATGTATTGTAACATAGGAAACCTAGTATTTCGTGACAATAATTTTCTAGTCTTTTAAGAATTTTGTAAACTGCTATTATGGTAGATTCTATTGGGAATAATGTGATGTGTGCACGGATGGCGAGATGGATGGCGGCCTTGACTCAAGGCTTTCATAGAGACATTGAAGGCTTGAAGGATGTTAGTCAAGTTACCTACACATTGATCCAAGCCCTCGAGGAGTCAAGTGATGGTTGTTAGTTTGGGCTCTAGCCCGCTAGTTAGTCTTTGTAGTTTTTCCAATTAAAGGGAGTCGGCCAACTGTTGGGCCTTTTTAGTCTAGAGCTGTCAAGTTATTGTTTGGATTAGTTACTAGTTGTAGGGCTTGTTGAGTCATGGGTTCGTCCCACCTTGTCCAAGGCCTGGCCGAACCTTTATTTCCTTTTTACTAGCATTAGGGTTTCGTTAGTTTGCCTATATAAAGGCTTGCTTTGTAAGCATTAATGGTAAACTCGATTGATTAATGAAATTGTCTTCTTTCGATTTTCTTCTTGTGAGAATTTCGTTCCTTTACTTGCTTTTGGCAAGGGTTCTTGAGCAATCTCGTGTTTTCCTTGATTGTTCGTCCGACCTATCTACTTGAGTATTCACCTCGATTGGAGTCGTTGTTCAACCACCTTAAACCAACTCGTGTCGTCCGTGTTGATTTTGGGTTCCGCAATCCAAGCGTTGGACAACGTCGCTAGATCCTTGGGCAAACGTGCTACGTGTCTCGAAACGTGTTGATCGAGGACCGTATCAGTTGGCTTCAGAGCTTAGGTGGAGGTATCTTTCATTATATCCTTGTTTTTCGTAGTTGTGTCGTAGGGTTTTTGTGTTTTGTCCGCTGCCTTGTTAAAAAAAAAAAGGCACTGTTCATCGTACTGTTTACCGACACTGTTCATCGTACTGTTTACCGACACTGTTCACGTTACTGTTCATCCGAACACAAAATCTGTTGGTGTGTTATCTCTTTTGTGTTTGTGTCTAGTTTGTTGATAATTTCTGTCCAAAATTTGCCGTAAGGTTCTTGATCGTTAGTCATCACTTGAGCAACAAGAAAACAAGTGGGGCGGCGGCTAGGGTTTTGTTGGCGCTAGGGTTTCTTTGTTTCAAATCTGTCCAAGTATTGCTTGCTTCATCCAAGTTGTTTACTTATTTTTCAAATCTGAATTTTGGTAAAACTTGTTGGTATTTGTGAATCTTGAAGAGAACCTACAAGAATCTTGAGTTTCTTGAATTTCTTGACCACAATCTTGAAGTTCTTGAAGTTCTTAATAACTTACTTGAGAGTTCTTGGAGGATCTTGAAGGTTTCTTGTGTAGTCCATTCGGTCAAATCTTTGTGTTGTGTTGGTTTGTTACAAGGAAAAAAAAAAAAGGGAACAAAACAGAAACGAAAAAAAAAGAGAGAAGGAAGGATCGGTTGGCAAAACGCAACAAGAGAGAAAAAAAAAAGGGAAGGCACCGAATTGTGGGAAGGAAATTTCTGATTTGCGCAATCCTTCTTGGAGTAGAATTTGGAACCTTCTAAAGTTGTTACGAGAAGGAAAGGGGTTTCTTAAAAGGTTTCCTAAACCAAATCTGATTTGTGCAATCATGGCGGAGTTTAAATGCATGCTTAGGGAGTCTATGGAGCCCCTACACCAAAGGAAGGACCAATTGGAGCTTTCTCAAGCTCGGTCCAACACTGCCCATTGAGATGCTCCGCCTCGCGAGGAGTTGGCTTCTAATAGTGAGGAAGATGACTTCATCCGTCAGCCGAAGCAGGACTATTGGCGAACAGATGATGGATTAAAGGGGTCAAGATCAAGATTCTCTCATTCCAAGGCAAGTCTAGTCCAAAGGCTTACCTAGAATGGGAACAGCGAATCGAGATGGTATTCGAGTGCCAGGACTACACCGATGAACAAAAAGTCAAACTGGCAACCCTCGAATTCACCGATTACGCTATTGTCTGGTGGGAGCAGGAGCGTACTAGTAGGCGCCGCAATAGAGAACGGCCAATTAGTACATGGGAGGAGTTACGAACCACATGAGAAAACGGTTCGTACCCAGCCATTACTACCGTGATCTATATCAGAGTCTCCAGACATTAGTTCAAGGAAGCCGCAGTGTGGAGGACTACTACAAGGAGATGGAGATCACCATGCTCCGAACAGACATTGTGGAGGATAGAGAGGCTACCATGGCGAGATTTCTTAACGGTTTGAGACCTGAGATCGCCGAGTTGGTGGAGTTGCAAAACTACGTGGACATGCCTGAGTTAATTGATAAGGCATCCAAGATCGAGAGGAGACTTAAGAGGAGGGGTAACCCTCACAACCCTAGTTTCTCAGCCACGCCTCTTTGGAGGGGCAATCCGACCTTCGAGCGGGAACGGCCTAGTACAGGGGTGTCTAAGTTCACTCCTAAATCCGAGTCACCAAAGCAGGCCATTTTCCAGATTTGAAAATTTTCGAAATCCTAACTTTTACTCAACCAAATCACATGATTTTTGGTGGAAACTTTCCACACATCCTGCGTAACATATATACATAAGATTCAAGGTCATTTGAGCATCGAAATTTCGGATTAAAGCTTCGATAAAAACAGGGCAGAATTTCGATCAGCAGCCCAAGTGAAATTTCATTCGATTTCCTTCAATTCTCTACCCGTAATTAACTTAAACAACACTAAAACAACTCAGACCAACCATTATATCATCATATCAGTCCAATATATCCATTGTGAGATTTCATAGAGCCCACTCCAACATTTAAACTCAATCCACAACAATAACCATGAAGCTACAAGCTTCCTAACAAAATTTAACCAACTAGAACTAAGATTAAGTGACCGGATGATTACCTTCTACTCCTTGGTGTAAAATCAGAAATTTTGCACCTCTAAAACCCCAAGAAAAATCATGAGAAAGATATCCTCCACCAAGCCAAGGTGAATCACCAAATTGTTAGAAGTTGGATGGTGTTTTTGGGTGCAAGATTGGAGCAAAAATGGTGCAAGGTGAAGTTGGGTTTCTCCTTCTTCTTTGCTTGAGGATGGCCTGCCCTTGAGGATGAAAAGAGAGATAAAAGGCTGATCAAATAAGCTTCTTGGAAAAGCATGGTGGTTGATGGTTCAAATTTGAGCAAAAGTCAACTTTGAATAGTGTTTCCCGCGCGCGCGTTTGGTGTCCGTTTTCTCTCAGGTTTGTTTCACTTGTGCACTAAACCTTTAATGTACTTCCTTTAACACTATTATTATTCACTCTTAGTAGTCTAAAATAAATTTCTAAAGTCCTTCTAGAAGTAGCTTCTGCGTTTCATTCGCAACATTTCAACCGTCATTTGAAAATATACAACTCCAGACATGTTTCTAATGGTTAATAATTGTTTACGGGACATAAAATCTTATTTATATGGATCAATTTTTGGTCTTTTGGCTATAGACCAAAAGGATCTACAGACTCTAAAAATATTTCTACTTTTTTTTTCTTTGTTCTTTGGTGGTTGTAACAACTTAATGCAGAGTTTTTGCAACCAAACTTCATCTTCTCCAAGACGATATTCATCCTTGGTATTTTGCACATTATGGTGGACAAATAAAGCTTTAAGGAAAGTGGTTTGTAATCACGATTTGAAGCCTTTTTCTGTGACGCCCCCACTTCTCCCTAAGGCGAATCCAAGGGTATCCGCGAAACGCCTACCTAACTCTCGCCAGGACTTGATACGAATCCAATTCAAACTTTTAAGGATAATTAACCAAAATAAAAGTAGATACAAAGGAAGGTTGCTTCCTTAAATAAATATTCAAATCTTACATCACAAGTTACCAAATGTACATCAACTTTCCCCAAAATACAACCACCATAAGTCGACTAATCGATTACATCCAAAATTCCACTCAAAAGGTAATCAAGTTAGCTTCTCCAAAATCTTTTCATTCCGAGCTCCTG